CCCCCCCCTCCCTACGAGGAAGCGACTACCCCGCCTGAGTTCAGCCTGCCAGCGCTTGGATTTCTAAGAAGGGGAGCCAAGGTCCTGCCTTGGGCTCTGCTAGGGCGACTTGGAGCTCGAAGTGGGTTTGAACGGCCGCCACCTCCCGGGATGCTTTCGACGCTTCGTGCTTTTCCTTGTGTCCCTGTTAGCGTTGCCAGGTACACAGCACTGCCTCAGCCGTTCGCCGAGCACTGCTGTTAGTTTTTCATATTTCATCCAAAGACACGAGCTCCTTCCTCCTCAGGTTAAACGGGTTGCTTGGCTTAGCCTGCCTCCACCCTGTACTCTTGAATTCAATATGTTGCATTTCCTATCCACTTCTTCCCCCGTAGATTGCATAGTAGTTGCAACCTGACTTGGCTTTTCTCAACCAGATGACGTTGTGGCTGCAAGAATCCACAGCCGTTCTTGCATCTTTGCAGCCAGATTCCTTTCTTAGCCTCACTGCAGTCTGAATCAACCTTGAATTTCTCTGTGTCTGTGACCCTCCCAGATAAGCAAGCGCTTTACCACTGAGCTACACCCTTAACTCTGTAAAGAAGTTTTAATAATGTGGGGAGATGTTTAGAATAAACAAACTACGGGAAGATATACATGAGCTCAATTTTGTAAATCTATACGAACAGAGAAACCAATATGTCAAAAATCAGTGGTTTTCTATTTTATGATAGGTGCTCAAAGCATGTTCACTGATTACAGTTAGGAAATCACCCATAGAGTCTTTTTTTTTTACTGAATAACTACTATGTGTCAGTCAGGACTTAGGAGATGGTGTGGAACAAAACCATGTCCCTGCTCTTAATGGAACTTTCTTGCTTTCTTTAAATTTTCTTTTTTTTTTTTTTTTCAGTACTGAGGATTGAATCTGGGGATGCTTCACCACTGAGATACATCCCCAGTGTTTTTTAATTTTAATTTTAAAAAATTTTATTTATTTATTTTTTGTACCAGGGGTTGAAACCAGGGCTGCTTAACCACTGAGCCACATCCCAGCCCTCTTTATTTTGAGACAGGTTCTCACTAAAGTTGCTGAGGCTGGTTTGAACTTGCAGTCCTCCTGTCTCAGCTTCATTAGTCAATAGGATTACAGGCATGCCACTATGCCTGGCCAGAACTTATTTCTTGAAGAGGTCTCATGGTGGTTTCTTCTGTGGTGGTTATCTTACTCCGATTTCACAGAATACTCAAGACTGGGTAATTTATAATGAACGGAAATTTATTGCCTCATGGTTCTGGTAACTGGGACATCCAAAATCAAGGGACATCTGGTTCAGGCCTTCTTTCTGCATCATCCCTTAGTGGAAGGGCAGAGGGAGGGTGAGAGAGTGCCAGCACACCCAAGAGAGGCCAGTCTTCACTTTTATAACAGATCCACTCTCCAGATAACCACAGTAAGCCCTTTATAAACTCAGAGCCCCACGACCTAGTCACATCTTTTTTTTTAATTTTAATATTTATTTTTTAGTATTTGGCAGACACAACATCTTTGTTTGTATGTGGTGCTGAGGATCGAACCCGGGCCGCACGCATGCCAGGCGAGCGCGCTACCGCTTGAGCCACATCCCCAGCCCCCTAGTCACATCTTAAAGTCCCACCTTTTTTACATTGTTGCATTTGGGTTTAAATTTCAGCACCTGAACTTTGAGAGACCCATTCATCCCCTATCAGTGGTAGCAGTGGAGATGGAAAGATAGAGAGTGGTGGATAGACTGACAAATACATTTTAGGGAGACAGCATTTTGGTACCAAAAGGGAATATTGAAAAAGATCAGGTTTATTCTTAGGAAATTGGCCTGGATAACTTTGGTGGAACTGGGCTCTGGACTAGAATGTTTGGTTTATAACCAAGGTGTCACCAACTACCAACAGAGTGACCTGGGGGCTAATTTCTGGGCCTTCATTTCTTTACCTGTGAATCAATGACCTTCTGGACCCATTGCCAGTAACAACCTAACTCGGGGCGGTTGGAAAGCAAGAGTTATTGCAAAGAGCTGAGAAGAGTGCCTGGCCCACTGTGCGGCAGCTAATAATGTTAGCCATTATTATTGTTATTGTTGTTATTGTTACAATTACTGAGATGAGGATGACCGGAAACAGAAACCCAACTAAGAAGAGCTATGAGACCTGGGAAGAGCAACAGTTGTTAATACTTTTTTAGTTCAGTGGAATGATGCCGTCTACTAATGGCTCTCAAGTTGAACCAGTTATGGAAGTAATTTATACACCATGTGATAATTAACACTGCCGATTAGGGGTGCCCAAGGGAAGGAACAGAAGGGCAGTAAATTTTAATAAGGACTCTAGGGAATGGCCCGGTGAGGGGGCAGGTGCTGAGGAGAAGGGACTGCAGAGGGAGGTGAAGGGGAGGAAATTGAGACCACAGACACGCCTCCCACCTCTGGGATCAAGATAGTTCCTGAGAATGTCAAGGGGTCCTACACAGAAGAGATTCTGATGCTGTGTCTCCATTTGTAGTTCAAAATGAAAAGGTCCAAGGTCGCTACATGGTAAAATGTGTGGATGGAATTCCTGCAGAGTTCTACCTTTCCTCCTGATGGGCACTTTGATGCGTTTTTTGATATCAAAGTCCTTTTTTAGAAATTTCCCCTCATTTTCGGAGACCCCTGCTTTGCTGGTCTCTAAGCAGGTTCTTGGTTTGCATAACGGATAGTCCTAGTCCAGCCAGGGCCATTTCCTTGCCCTTGCCATTTGCTTGGCTGACTCTGACAAGTCCTTTGGAATTTAATCCCAGAGAGGATCTTCTCCAGGAAGCCTTCCTTGATCCTGCAATAGGCCTTTGTTTTGGGTATTACCAGGGATTGAACTCAGGGGGACTTGACCAGTGAGCCATATCCCCAGCTGTACTTTGTATTTTATTTAGAGACAGGGTCTCACTGAGCCTCACTTTTGCTGAGGCTTGCTTTGAACTCATGATCCTCCTGCCTCAGCCTCCCGAGCTGCTGTCATAACAGGCGTGTGCCACGTTGCCCAGCTTGTGACAGGCCTTTAGTCACATCTATCTCTTTCACTAATGCACACCTCCCTTTGAAGTAGAAATGTTGTTGATGCAGACCATATCTAGCTTTTTAAATCGATGCATCTCCCTGTGCCTAGAACAGTGCCCGGCTCAAAGCTGAATGAAAATGTACTGTTCCCCCCTCCCTCCTCACACCCTCATTTCAACAGGCACCTGGCAAAGCCAGCTCTGTGTCAGTCACTTCCCTGTTTCCAGGAACCTTGTCACTTCTGCTGCTTCAAGGTCAGAGACCATCCCGCCAGCATGCCTGACTCAACCGTGATGGAGCGCCATGAGAACCCAACCAAGGGTAGAAAGCTCTATGCACACATTCCAAGTATATGACTGACTTTGCGAGTGTAGCATGAGGAGGGCCTGAGTTCTCTGCAGGGTGATGTCAAGGATCCTCTGCAAACTGCTGCTCTCAACGAGCACAAGCCTGCCTTAAGTGCCCTTCTGCAGTGGCTGGAGGAGCCTTTTCCTGGCTGAAAAGGCTCCTCCCACTTTTGTTTTCATATAATCTAGGTCACCAGTTCGTCTGCAGAATGGCTAAGAAACTCTTGAGATGATCTTGCTTGAAGGCTACCAGTTTCTCCCCAGCCAGGGTGATCTTGGGATTAGCACAGGAATTGTTATCTCCCCTATGCAATTTTGGGGAGTATTATAGTTTGAAGGTGATGTGCCCCCCAAAAGCTCATGT